ATACAGTGTTATGAACAGTTAAAATTTACTCTATTTTAACTTTTTAAAGCATGTATTGCTAAATTTTTTCAATAGAATTTTTAAAATAGATGATTAAATTTATTAATTAAATTAAAAACTGCCAAAATTATTAATTAACCAACTTTTAAAGAAGGTGACAGGACTAATACTAGTAATTACTGCCCTATCTCTGTCCTTTCTACATAATGTACAATATGTGCAATTTAATTATGTACAATAGAATGTTTAATTATTTTAATTACAATAATCTATTATACAAAAATCAATTTGGTTTTAAAACAAATAACTCAACTGAACATGCAATTTTTAAGTTTGAACGCAAAATCTCCAATTCATTTGAAATTTCTCAATTTACATTTGGCATTTTTATTGATCTATCTAAAGGGTTTGATACTGTATATCACTATATTTTACTCCGTAAACTTAAACATTACGAAGTTTTACAATGGTTTTGAAACTATTTATTAAATCGAAAACAATTTGCCTATTACAATGATATATATCAAACAAATTTGTTAGAAATATCCTGTAGTGTTTCGCAAGGTTCTATACTAGGGCCACTTTTGTTCTTGATTTACGTAAATGACTTTTATAAAGCTTCAAGTCTTTTAAGTATTTTGTTTTCTGATGATACCAATTTGTTTTCCTCCAATAATAATATTTACCAACTCTTTTCGACTATGAAAGATGAATTGCAAAAAGTATCAAATTGGTTTAAGTGTAACAAATTAACCCTAAACATAAACAAAACAAAATAGGTTCTCTTTTTCTCTTTCATCCTTTTTTTTTTTTTCATCAAGTTAAAATAAAAAGAGATTTATTAACAAAATTTTTTAGGTGTTTTTCTTGACTAGAACATCACATGGAAACAAAATATTATTTACATTTGCGCTAAAGTATCTAAAAGTATTGGAATCTTAGACAAGGCCCGAATATATTTAATTAAAAAAAGTTTAACACAACTTTATTACTCATTTGTTCACAGTTATATAAGTTATGTAATTACTGCCTTTGGCAGTATAGACAAAGTTAAAACGTCTATACAGCCATCAGAAACACGCTATGCATTTAATTAATTTTGCAGATCGTTTTTCACATACTAGAATATTTTTTATGGAAACGAGAATAATTAATGTATACAAATTAAATGTATTTAATGTTTTATGTTTCATTTATATGTGTAAAAACAATTTATATCCTTTAGTTTTTAAAAATTTATTTATTTTGAAACACAAACAAATACACCTTAAGAAATAATAATTTTGTTAATGAACCGCCTTGTAAAACAAGATTTATTAAATTTTGTATTTCATATCGTGCACCACATCTCTGGAATAGGATTGTTTAACCAAACATTGATTTGTCGATTACTTTTCCATTTTTCAAAAATAAATTAAAAAACTTCATTTTCTCAATTTAAAATATTTTTTAATACTTTTGATAACGTAGCAATGCAACATATAATGAAATTTTATACAATATATATATATATATATATATATATATATATATATATATATATATATATATATATATATATATATATATATATATATATATATATATATATATATATATATATATATATATATATAGTAAATAAAATACCCGTTATACTTTTAAAAAACGTAACGGGAGTTTTCCTCGCAAATAACGGGTAATTGACGTTATGTTTAATACTAAGCATGTATGAAAATAACATAACGGTTTTAGCGTTATGTTTAGTCATAGCAAAATTGTCTTAAACATAACGGTTACATAACGCTAATTTACCGTTATGTGCGAGGAAAACTCCCGTTGTATAACTGGTAATTACCCGTTACGTTACCGTTATGCAAAATGAAAATTATCTTTTTAAAGAAATGCATAATTCTGCATGACTATTCGCAGAAAGTACTTGACAAAAAAACATTTTTTTGTCAATAAAAGTTGTAATAAGAAAATAAAAATTATGCAGTTTCATATCATAATATATTTATATTATATTATTTATAATAATCATAAAAACTATTTACAAAATAATTGAATAAATTATTTACAAAATAATTCAATAAATTATTTACAAAATAATTGAATAAATGATTTACAAAATAATTGAATAAAATAACTTATTAACATTTATAAATTTAAAAGTAATTTGCATTGCTTTAAAAAAGATTGCAGAAGAAAAATGCATTTTTAGATAATAAAGCCAATTGCAAAAAGCCTCAAATATCTTGCTAAAATCCCAGAAGCCGCCCAAAACAAGAATATGTCAAATCTAGCAAATAGTAAACAACCATCAAAACAACCACTATATGTGGTGATCAAGGGCTGAATTTCGACACTTTGCAACTCCTTACATCATATTCTGTTTTATTAAAGATAACTTGTGGACCATATAAGCTTTGGCATAAGTATTCATGTAGTGAGTCACACTAAAATTTTATAAATAAAAAATAATTATCACAATCATAAAATAAAAAATTATTATTAATACATTAAATGGAAAAAAGAAAAAAGAATGTGAACCATTGCAATACAAAATTTGCTTACCATTAGTTAAAATGTCAGCAATATTACAAGCGAGAACAATTTTCTTTCCCCAAGAAATTTGACAATAACAGCCTTTATTATTTTCAACTATTAACTATTGTAGAAATAAGTAAAGCAGTTATTATTAGTTTATACTACTTTAATTTTACAAATAGTATATTTAACATTTTTTAATATTTGCAATACAAAATTAATGCTAAAAACAGTAATAATAAACAGACAGGCCAGACGGTAAGAGGTAAACACCATTATTACAAAAGTATTAAAGAACATTATTAAACAGCATTATTTGGCACAATTTAATTAGTTTAATAATACTACACTAATTTATATTATATAACTAGAAAAAATTTATTATAAAAATATCATATAATATATGACCTCTAATTGTTTTATCACTCTAAAAGACCAAAAGGATAATTTTTTAAACAACCCTACAGTTCGCCTATTAAATCCTGCCTATTAAATCCAACCCTACAGTTCGCCTATTAAACGAAGTAGGAAGAATTTCTAAAGTTATTCTATCAAAAATAAATAGTGATCTTAGAAAAAAAGTTTGCATCAACCAATGGCTAAATTCACAGAACGTTATAGATTGGTTTCAAAATATTAAAGAAAAACATCTATACAAATTCTTAATTTTCGATATAACTAATTTTTATCCTTCAGTTAATGAAAATTTACTAAACAACGCTATAAAATTTGCTGAAAAATACTTAATTATAAAACAAGATGAAAAAAGTTTAATACATCACGCCAGAAAATCGTTATTATTCAGCAATGGTGAAGCCTGGATTAAAAAAAGTGGAGGTTTATTTGATGTAACTATGGGAGCCTTTGATGGCGCAGAAGTTTGTGAGTTAGTTGGAATATTTATCTTGTTTCAATTATCGCAATATTACAATAAAGATGAATTCGGTTTGTATAGAGATGATGGTCTAGCAGTGTTTAAGAACCGGAGCGGTCAACAGATGGAAAAAATTAAAAAGCACTTTGTAAAGGTTTTTAAAAACAATGATCTTCATATATCCATTAGCTGTAATTTTATAATTGTTAATTATCTGGACTTAAAGTTAAATCTTAAGAACAGTTCTTTCCAGCCTTACTGCAAACCTGGTAATTCCATCAGTTATATAAATGCTGACTCTAACCATCCTCCTGTATACTAAAAAGCCTTCCTCAAACTATCAAACTAAGATTGTCAAGCAATTCTTCTAACGAAAATGTTTTTAAACAATTCATTCCTCTTTATCAAGGTGCATTATCTAAATCAGGTTTTATCTGCAAATTTGCTTACCATTTAAATAAAAAGCCGATCCAATTCAAAAATCACAAGCGAAACATAATATGGTACAACCCACCTTTCAGTACCAATGTTGCAACAAAAATAGGCAGTTGTTTTTTGAACTTGGTAGACCTACATTTTCCGGTTGGTGACAAACTTCGTAAGATATTTAATCGAAATACCATTAAAATAAGATACTCACGTATGCCAAATATCCATCATTAATTCGCACAACCACAGGATATTATATAGCCAAGATAAAGATAAGGGAAAAACATGCAATTGTATCAACAAATCCATCTGTCCCATGAACAATCAGTGCTTGACAAAAAACATCGTTTATCAAGCCACTGTGTCGTCAAATAAACCTGACTACAAAAAAAAAGTATATTTTGGCTTATGTGAAACTCCATTCAAATCTCGGTATGCGAACGACCTAAAACCTTTTAACATTAACAAATATAAAAATGATACCGAATTGTTTAAAGAAATTTGGGACATAAAAGACAAAATTTTTACACTTAATTTTTACAATTAAGTGGAAAATTGTAAAACGTTGCAATACTTATAACGCCTCGTCAAAAATTTGCCATCTTTACTTATTCGAAAAGTTCCTTATTTTAACATATAAAGGTGATAACTTATTAAACAAACAAAATGAGTTGATTTCAAAATGCAGACACAAAAATAATTTTTTTTTATCTTTTTTTGACACCGGAGATTAGCTGATATTTTGTTTTTGCTTTGGTTGCCATCAAGAGTATCTTAGCGACGTTAAGATCCCACAGTATTTTGTAATTTTTAGCGGGTTTTTTATTTTTTATTTTATATTCAATGGCTGATGATTGCCGTATAGGCATAAAACTTGAAGTACCATAGAAAAAGTTGCTTTTTCTTCGTTAATATATGTATGTATGTATGTATGTATGTATGTATGTATGTATGTATGTATGTATGTATGTTAGTGATCGACCGGCACTGAAATTTTGCCGGAACCGGAACCGAACCGAAAATAGATTTTAAATATTCCTAACCGGAACCGGAACCGAAAGTAAACCCTAACCAGAGCCGAAACCGAAACCGGAACCGAAAATAAATAATAGTTTTTGTTTGCAAGTTTATTCCAATTAAAACACAAAGTTAAATTAATAAAAAATGATTAATAGCAGAATCCAACAACTGCAAGATCTTCTCGACAAAAAAGGAGTTTTTCCAAATTTTTAGGAAGGAGTCTGTTTCTTTCGTTAGATAGAATACCTCCAGCCGTAGAAAACAATCTTTCAACATCTGTGGATGTTGGGGGTGGTGTGAGGTACTTTTTTGCCACCTTAGTCAATGCTAACTTGATTTTGCTAGTCGCATTTTTTTCATAGTTTTTCCAAAATTCTAGGCAATGAGAAGCCATTGGACAATCCAAAAAATCCTTCAACACTTCCCTCGTCATTTTGGAAGATGAATGCTCATTTGGTCCTGTTTGAGACTGTGCAATAATTTTTGACATTATGTGCGAGAATGCCGTGTTTTTTTCATTGTCACCAGATGGAATTTGAGTAACAGGAGCCAATTCATCTTCAAGAGGTTCAAAATTCTCCATTTGGGACATGACAATGTGTTTGGCATTTTGCAAAGCAGCTTGAGATCGGAAAAAATACCATTTGTATTTTGGATTAAGTAAAGTAGCAACTGAATAATGTTCTGTTTTTTCAATTGCTGAAAAACGTTTTTCCATTGCATTTTTCATAGCTATTTTCAATTCCTGAACACTGACGTCGCCGGAGGTTGTTTCCAAAGCTTTAATTATTGTTGTCACAATTGGAATGCAGGAACTGATACAAGAATCACTACCTGACAACATTTTTGTTGCCTCCTCAAAAACACTTAAAATTCTCACCACTTTTTCATAGAGGCTCCAATCTTGGACGGAAAATTCAATTCCCACAGAAGGAAATTTGAGTAAGGTTGCAGCAATGGCTGGTTTCAGGTGTAAAATTCGCTCAAGCATGTAATAGGTAGAGTTCCATCTTGTGGCAACATCGTTTTTTAAGCCAAGTCTGTCTGTAAAGTTCAGTGTAGAAACCAATAGAATGGGATGCGTAAGAACAAAGTTTTCGACTCTTTTCAATCAGTTCGTTGATGGTAGGATCTGATAATAGGTCTTTTTTTATCACAAGTTGAAGGGAGTGGTTAAGGCATCCAGCTGACTTATAATTACAGCTTGGCTCATTGAAGGCTGCTTTTACATTTGCTGCGTTGTCTCTTAAGCAAACTCCAATTTTTGAAGAAATTTCCCATTCCTCTGCTGCTGCTTTGATCTCTTTGAAAATATTTTTTGCAGTATGACTTTCATCAAATGGAGAACAAGAGATGCAGAATTTGACACGGTTCCAGTCTTTGGAAATAAAGTGAACAGTCATTCCCAGATAGCCATGATGAAATGATGACCATGCATCAAGGCAGACAGACACATTTTCAGCTTCTGATTAAACCAGCTTTTCCTTGAGAGCAACTTTAATTTTTTCGTAAGTCGGATCCAGTAAACTTCTGTAGTATTTTTCGCTAGCAATTTCGTAATTTGGAGCAATAAGAGCATGGTGCCTCAAAAATCCAGCATCATTGACAATAGACCATGGTTGGAGGTCAAGAATCATCATTTCAAAAATTGACTTGTGAAATTTTTGGCCTTTTTCAGAATTAGAGTCAATTTTTGAAGAAGCTTAAACCCAGTTTGGAATTGTAGATTGTAACATGTCGGATCTTTGTTTTTTTGATCGCATGTTGAAGATTGTAACTGCCTTTCTCTTGTTGGAATTTAAGTCAGCTTCTTCATTTGCCTTTGGATTTTCTGCTTTTTCGGGCGTAAGTTTGATGTCAAGATGATGATTCTTCAGGTGTGACGTGAGTCCACTTAATCCTTGTTTTTTTGGGTCGTCAGATCCTCTTGAAACTTTGCTGTTGCAGATTTTGCACTGAACCATTCTTGGATTGTTTGCTTCAATTATGAAGTACTTCCACACTAAACTTGTTTTTCGGTTTGAGCTCATTTTATTAGAATGAAATCGAAGAACTTAATCAGATGAGTTTTTTAATGTTGCTAGTTTGAGTCAAGAACAAGGATTTAAAATATAATTAACAAGTTCTTTGTTAATTATATTAATTATTAATTATATTAATTTGTATTAATATTGTTGTTAACTTAACAATATATATATATATATATATATATATATATATATATATATATATATATATATATATATATATATATATATATATATATATATATATATATATATATATATATATATATATATATATATATATTTAAGAAAAATTTCTTACGTTACATTAAAAAGTTCAATACATTAAAAAGTTCGTTAAAAAGACAATTAACAATTTAAACGAGAAAACATTAAAAAAGTTATAACGACAAGAAAACATTATTGTTTTAATGTTTTAACGACGAGAAAACATTAAAACAACTTGCTTTAAAAAAATGAATGAAACCAATAAAAACTTTTTTAATTTATTTCAAACAAATTCCACGTGATAATTTAAAAAAAAATCACCAAGTTCGTAAAGATTTTACCGTTACCAATTCCATGCGATAATTAAAATAAATAAATAATCAAGTCCATAAACATATGACTCTACTATGTAGATAACATTGTAGCGTCATTAAATTTGTAGATCATGATATTTTAAACATGATAATTAAAAACCAGATAAAAGTAACAACGCGATCGGACGCAAAAAATAATATAAGAAGTTGAAATAACTAGCAAAAAAATTATTTAAATTTTTTTAATCAAAATATATTTACGCTACAATGCTAAATAATTTATTTAAAATAAAGTTTTATAATATCTATTTTCGGTAGCATTTAGAACCGAAATTCCGGCCGAAACCGAAATCTCAAATCTAGCCGGAACCGAAACAGGAATTTCGATTCCGACCAAATTTATGACCGGAACCGGAACCGAACCGAATTTCGGTCGATCACTAATGTATGTATGTATGTATGTATGTATGTATATATATATATATATATATATATATATATATATATATATATATATATATATATATATATATATATATATATATATATATATATCCATTTAAGAAATTTACCTCTTATTTAATATATTTTTAATCTAAATTATTAACGAAACCTTTTAATAATTTTTAACTTATAGTCTTCTGTTAATTCTTTGAAAAGCTCACTTTAGATTTAACATTATGGTGATAACAGGTTTATTGTTTTTGATCGAAGATATTCATTATATACAATAGTTTGAATAGCTGTTTCTGTTGAGCAACTTTTCCTGAATCCAAACTTTTTTTTAATAAATAAATTTTTTTCTTCAAAGCAGTTAGTAGTTAGAAACTTATTTAAAAACTATAGATGACCTGCCCAAAACAAAATCCTAAATCAATTTTGAAGCGTTCTACCAATTTGACAGTCTGTGTGGCAGCAATCCTTGCATGTTTTACCTATCTCAGCCGGTACAAAAAAAGTTACGCCTGGTTTCTGTTAAGTGTTTAAAACATCTTAAACAAAAAGAATACCACGTGTTTAAAATGGTTTTCATTCCGTGAAATTAACAATTTCTTTTTACCATAAATACCAGTTAAAATAATAATGATTTCACTCTTACGGAAACGTATAATAAATATCTGTAAGGAATGTAAAACCTTGATAAAAGCATGCGACATTTAAATTTGACTTTAGAATCACAAAAAAAAACGTGTTGAATTTGAGTAAAAGGCTAAATCGAGGAAAGCGACCATGAATAAAACAAAACAAAAACAATGCAAATAAAATAAATAGTATTAACAGAGAAGGTAGCTATTAGTCAACATTCATATTTATATCTTATATATCTTCTATAGTGATATATTTTTTATCATGAGTGATACAACTGTTTTTTCTATTTATCTTGATGTAACAAGTAGTATTTTAATTTGGTTTTGATGACCAGGAGCGGATCCAGGCTGAAACAAGTGTATTTGCTACAGTCAGCTCAGATTTTTGCGTAGTTGCTACAGTCAGCTTAGTTTCTTTTTTAATTTTTACATACCTTGAAATAAGATATTGATGTTACAAGTAGTCAAAATTCGGCGCCTAAAAAATTTATTCAAAATCTTAGCTGAGCTAAGTTGACTATGTTACGGAAATATTTCATTCAGAAAATAAAATACTTCACTGAAAAACCCATGATTTTAATGGGTTTTAACTCGCAAGCCCATAAATTTTTCAAAAATTGTCAAACATTTAGTAGCGTATCAACCTACATTGAACTGGGTGTTAAATAAAATGACAAATCGACTGTAGCAAAAGTCAATTTGTCATGCTTTGAAACAACTCTATACATAACCCCGATAATTTATTATATATTTAGCCATTTTACATCCAATATCTTTATTAAAAAGGAGGTCTTACGTAGTGACTAAAAGTCATTAAGTGAGAACCTGTAGCAAAAAGAGAATTAGTGTAGCAAAGACAGAAATTCTGTTAAATATTCACTCTCCATTCATAAAACTTTTTTTAATGAAGTGGATAGCAATCATAAATAAAAAGGTTTTTGTATTTATAAGGACTAAATTAAATAGTGCTGTCTGTTGGTTTCTTTATTTAGTCTATTTTGAAATGGTGAAATTTATTTATGTTAATGAAAAATGTTAAAATGTGTTTATAGCTGTTCTACGAGTTATTTGCAAGGAACTTTCTACTATTTTTTCTACTTTGAAAATTTTTACAAGGAACTAATATTCTCTGTGACAAGGTGTATGTTACAAAAATGTTATTGTATCAGGAAGGTGTTGTTTTTGGAAAATCAATGATATGAGTTATCTTTTAAAAAGTGTTTAAGATGTTATGATAACTTGTAATACAAGTTGTATGTTTGATGGTCCTAATTTTTTTTTGAAAATGTGAAAACCTGTAAACAAATAAATTCCTGGTTTTTATGTGATCAAGTTCATTTAATTTTAGAATCAGTAAGAAAGTCAAATAGCAAAGCAAAGGTAGTATATGTGATAAAAATCTAACTCTAATATTTTATGAAAAACCTTGGTTAACTACAGATGGAACTTTTTTGTTGTTTTACTTTTGTCCATGTTATCAAAAACATACAAAATAATTGGACTCAGAAAGAAAAAGTATTTTTTCTGATAAAATTTACAATGTTCTTCTTAATCACCCTAAAACTTTTACTCAAACGTTAACAACACTTTTATTTTGATTTTCAGATATTTTACAAAGTAAGCCATAATGTATTTTAAATCAAATTTAAATTAAATAAAAAAAAATGAATTTTAAACAAATTTAGATTAAATTTGTCGTTTTCGTTTTCAAATATCAATCCCAAATTTTTTTGCAGACCAAAACATTTTAACAACCACAAATATTTTGTTGATTTAAATATATAGGTAAATTTATATGATAATGTTTTGTGTTTTATTTGCCGTAAATACATTGAATGGCATCAGAAATACCAAAAACTAAATGTAAATACGTAATAATAAGTTTTTTGTTGTATGAAATATCTTAGCTTTGACATAATGGCAAGGAATCTATTTAACTTTGTAGATATATTGTTATAATGGTAAGTCTAGACTAAATTTTCGTTTAGCGTTATACCCAAGTAGTTTACAAATTTTTTGCGCCATAGCTTTTCCCATTTAACTTAATTTTGAGTTGCTGGTCTAATATTTTGTGACAACTTTGAAATAATCTTAAATCAGTTTTTTTGGAGTTAAGGAAAATTTTGTTGGCATTTAGTTAGTTGCATAGCTTTTTAAGTTCATAGTTAACATATTTGTTGATTTTTTTATAGACTAAAATAGAGAAGGTTTGTGTCATCTGCAAAGTGTTGGACTCTACAAAATTTTAAAGCTTTAGACATGTCATTTATATAAATAAGAAAAAACAAAGGGCCAAGGACTGATCTCTGAGGAATTGTAGAAAACCCCACAAATGGATACTAATCGAGTTCTATTAGTAAGGAAAAATTTGAACCAGGAGTTTGAAACTCCCCTAATATCATAATAGAATAGCTTATAAAGTAGAATGTCAATATCTACAGTGCCTAATGCCTTTTGAAGGTCGATAAAAATACCATACCCAAAATTCCTTCATCCAGAGAATCTTTAATTTTTTCTGTTAGACTTAGTAAAGCAAGTGATGTAAAATAGTCTGTTCGAAAACCAAATTGTAATTCTAAAAACAGTTTACTTAACAGTTTACTTTCATTGAAGGATTCTTATAAGCAATTACCCTTTCAATAGCCTTTCAAGGATTTTATCAATGTTGGAGAGGAGGGATATTGGTCTATAGTTTGACATTAATAGCTCTAAATTAGTTTTAAAAATTGGAGTAACTTTTTTTTTTAAGTTTTCTGGGAAAATACCA